TCACCCCACTGTATGTCATATTCGACTACTTTCACATTACTCACTTCACCTTTTTTCTACCTTCGTGTCTGTATATTTTACATCTTTGAAACACTCTTCTGTTCCCCCCACCACTCTCCACATTTTAGCTTTAATGTTCCTTCCACTCTGTGAAACCTGAAGTCAACAAATGGACTAATGATTTATTTATATTTATTTATTTCAAATGGCAGACTTTATGATATTTATCATTAGCCCTTAAACTTTGACTTCAGCTTGCCCCATGGGTAATGATATTTATCATTAGCCCTTAAACTTTGATTTCAGCTTCCCCCAGGGGTCTGCCTCATCATTTATTTCAAATGGCAGGCTTTATGATATCTATCATATTAGCCCTTAATCAAGGGATCATTAGCCCTTAATCCTTGACTTCAGCTTCCCCCAAGAGCCCTTAATCTTTGACTTCAGCTTCCCCCAAGAAGGATAAAAAAATTTATTTCAAATGGCAGGCTTTATGATATTTACTAGCCCTTAAACTTTGACTTCAGCTTCCCTCAAGGGTGGGTACATTTATAGACTTAATCTTTGACTTCAGCTTCCCCAAGAGGGGGGGGGGGTACATTTATAGCGGTTAATTAATAGCAGTTCATTAGCAGTCTTCTTGCTTCCCCGGATCTCTGGCTTTCCGTCGTTGTCTTTAGGACTGGACACCGAATCAGGTGCGTCGTTGTCTTTAGGGCTGGACACCGAATCAGGTGGGTCTATAGTAGCTGTCTTCTTGCTTCCCAGTATCTCTGGCTTTCCGGTCATTGGCGGTACATTTATAGCAGTTAATTAATAGCAGTTCATTAGCCCGGACATTTATAGCAGTTAATTAATAGCAGCGTAGCTTTGACTTCAGCTTCCCCCAAGGGTGGGGGGTACATATGTTGACTTCAGCTTCCCCCAAGAGGGGGGGGGTACATTTAAAGCAGTTAATTAATAGCAGTTCATTAGCAGTCTTCTTGCTTACCTTAATCTTTGACTTCAGCTTCCCCAAGAGGGGGGGGGGGTACATTTATAGCGGTTAATTAATAGCAGTTCATTAGCAGTCTTCTTGCTTCCCAGTCATCTCTGGCTTTCCGTCGTTGTCTTTAGGACTGGACACCGAATCAGGTGTCCATTTCCTCCTGTAGGTTACATAGGGGGCATGTGGGTTTCTTGTCTCTAGGGCTGGACACCGAATCAGGTGGGTCTTCTCCGTCCTCATGTAGGTTACATAGAGGGCATGTGGGTTGAGTGTACATGTAGGTTACACAGAGGGCATGTGGGTTGAGTGTATACTCTCTTAGATTAAGAATCAGATGGGTCTTCTCCATTTCCTCCTGTAGGTTTCACAATCAGACTCCATGTCCTTGTCTTTAGAGCTGGACACCGAATCAGGTGGGTCTGCGTTGTCTTTAGAGCTGGACACCGAATCAGGTGGGTCATCACCATTTCCTCCGCTAGACACCGAATCAGGTGGGTCTTCTCCATTTCCTCCTTAGGTTACATAGGGGGCATGTGGGTTGAGTGTATACTCCCACGTTACATGGAGGGCATGTGGGTTGAGTGTATAATCCCAATTTGTGAGTTTTGCCAAGCAATCGTGTCCGGTACGTAGACTAAACTCATAAAATATTAGAATGACAATTCATCAAGGTCTCTAAATCACTAATTTTAAATTATTATTATTTTAAAATATTTTATCTTATGTTTTTAAAATTTGACTTTAGCTTCCCCAAGGTTGAAGATACATATATAGCAGTTAAGTTATAGGAGTTCATTAGCTGTCTTCTTGCTTCCAAGTATCTCTGACTTCCTGTCGTTGCCTTAAGAGCTGAACACCGAATCAGGTGGTACTTTTCAATTTCCTCCTGTAGGTTACATAGAAGGCATGTGGGTTGATTGCATACTCCCAATCTGTGAGGGTTTTTTGCCAAGCAATCGTGTCAGGAAAGTAGTCTAAACTCAGCAACGGCTTCAAATTCTTGGCCAGACGGCTAAGTCGGAGAGTGCCACTGTATACTGTTTCTCCTTTTTTCGAGCTTTAAGTTCGTTGTACCTTGAGGTCTGGAATTCTCTCCTGATTAAGGCCTTCATTGTGTGGAAAGACATCGGCCAGCCCATGCATTGCAAAATCGTTGTCCCCTTCTTAGCAAGTGTGTCAACAAGCTCATTGCCTTAAATGCCACAGTGACCAAGAATCCTTTGTAGGACCACTATTTTGTTTTTCTCTCTCAGCAGCGGATAGAGATTTCTATATTCCTTTATCTCGGCTGTTTCAAATCGAGTTTATTGCTGACTGTGAGTCCGAAAGTATCACCTCTTTGGTGAATTTCGTATCCAGGCAAAAAAATTGGCATAGTGCTCTCCTAATGGCCTCATTTCGCTTTCAAAAGCGATTCTTATGTGTCCTGTTGCTGCAAAGAAAGCGAAGAGTTTGAAAAAGATATCTACACCGCAGTTGGCTTAGTTTTCTATGTAGGACCCATCAGTGAAGATCTTTAGCTATTGATCTCCAGGTTAATGATATTGATTGTCCCAAGGGCCAATGAGCGTATTCGTTCTATATAGATGTTTGATTTCCTAAAGTAGTCAAGCAGTTGGGTGTAACACACAACCTCAGTGTCTGCTAATGTGCTCTGGGTAGAAGGTGTCTTTTTGGTTTGTCATCGATTTGTAATGCTTGCTTCAGTTCCATGGCTTTCTGTATTAGACAAAATTGCGTTTTCAGATGTCTTGGTCTATTTTCATAGGTTCTGAAGACTTAAGATGTCTTGGTCTATTCTCATAGGTGCTGAAGAACTTGAAGGAATGCGTAGTAGCTTCTCATACAGGATCAAGGCCTTTTCTTTGATGAGGTAGCTTCTCATACAGGATCAAGGCCATCTCTTTGATAAGAGAACCTTCTCATACAGGATCAAGGCCTTTTCTTTGATAAGGCAACAACAGGATCAAGGCCTTTTCTTTGATAAGGGAACCTAGGATCAAGGCCTTTTCTTTGATAAGGGAACATATTGTGGAGTTCCCGTAACCTTCTTGATAAGGCAACCTATTGTGTTGCTTCCTGTAACTAGGAGCATTGCATCAATGGGTGTTAATTTTATCCCTCCAGTAATCAGTCGTGATGCCTGGTTGTGTGCCTTCTCGAGTGGTTTGAGAGTCACCTCTCTGGCTGTAATGAGTGGCTCACACCAATACAACATTATTGGCTCAATAAACATCTTGTTAGTGGTGTTGAGAGTTGAGCGCGCACAGCCTCATACGCTACCAGCAAGACACCTCAGTACATTCAGCTTATTTTAGATTCGTTCTGCTATTTAAATTACTTCCATTCATTAGGCTAATATTTACAATTTAGTTGAATTTCCGGATATATATTTGCAAAGTGGTGGTGATTTGATGAATATGAGTTCCTGTTAATTATTTATCTAAATATTTTTATAACCAAGCAAAATTTTACAAGCATTGCAATGCATTCTTTTCGTCAAACGTAATATATGTATAAATATCAGCCGTCTCTTTATGATTTAGTTAATATGAAAGCCGCATTCTCAATGTGTACGAAAATCGCACGTAATTAAAATTAAGAACGTGGCGTTTAAACAAGTTTTATTTAAAAAATATATAAAGCAACCCCTTCAAATGAAAACGAAACATGTGTTATTTAAGTAGAATTCATGAATTTTTCTAACAGTTTTCCAAAAATATCTTCCCATCACTGCTTTCAATGGCAAATAATTAAAACTATACACTGGTGCGGAGTCTTTTGTTATACGATTTGCGAGTCAACCTAAATGTAATATGTACAAAATAAATTTCCATTCGAGGTTCAAGTAGTCAATTTTAATGGAAAAATGCGGTTTTCACTAGAAAGCAAAGTTGCGAATATATATTTTCTAGAGTGCAGCCATTGAGTTATTTGGCTGCCAATAACGAAAACATAGTTTTGTTTATTTTGCATTTACGCGTTATATTTTTTACAGGGGTGCACGGTAGACCTACATCCTCGTGGTATACACCGGACAGCTTATATTCATACGGCAAAAAAGTCTATTACTTGGTATTTGACTTCAATTTTTTATGGTGAGCTTGATGCAAGTAATAAGAGAATTAGCCCTCGTCAAGGTGAATCACAAACTCTTGAGAACCGTAAGTGGAATGCTGAAGGGATATCGAAACACATGAAGATCCAAATCCAGAAATTCCTACATACTTATGATTTAGACATATTCACAATCGTGGAAGCAACCTTTTGGATGAATAGATCAAATACTTCCGATTTCCAGTTTACACATTATACCTTCTACCTTAATACCGGCAAGTTGCAAGTCTGCTTAAGTAGACTCGAGAAATGCTCTCAATGTTAAATGATGATTTTTCCCACTAAGATATGCTCTTCATTCAATGCCAATACTCGATTATCACAATGAAAGTCAGTGTAAGCGTAAAATGGAATTGGCGATAATCTGAAATATGCATTGCACGAAAAGGCTGATAAAACATGTTCCATTTTAAGCCAATTCAGCAGTTTCTATTTGAGCTCTTGACGAAGACGAGAGAAGGAGCGTTGAAAAGAAATAACCTGTAATCAAATGGGGAATGAGTCTAGGTAGAAATAGTTGAATTGAAAAGAATAGTAGACGGATTGGCCTACCCGTATGTTAAGTGATGCTTTCAGTATTGCTACTTATGCCTATGAATGAGTGTAATAAAGAGTAAAGGTCAATTAGTCTGATTATGAGATATGAATTGCCATCAATACCCTCCATATTAGCTGCAATCCATCAAATATGGATTGATGTCAAGTAGCTGACTATGTGATACTTAACGCTTGCAAGAAATTAGACTTCGGGCTTCATAGAGAGGAATAGCATCAGCACCTATATAGACTTGAGAATAGTTAACAGTAACCCTTTAGTTTATTTCTGTCTTTCTAACATATCTGAATTTCTATTTTTGTCGGTAGAGCTGGACCTTCTTATCAAGTGAGTCATTTACATCTACTGTTGCAGATCACATAAGAGCCAGGTTAATTGGGCATATTCGCTAGGGAATTCCAGAACTTTCTTTTGATTAAGGTCCTTATTGTGTAGAACATATTGCAAAATTATGGTCCCTTCCACGGATAGTTTGTTAGTTTCAATAATGCTAAAGCGTTCAGGATCGATTGTCAAAATATGGTTTTCATTTTCATTGAAGGGTAACGGATGTAATTGAAAAGCGGACGACAATGCCGAAGGTCATGCTCTGTTTTGATGTATTTTGGCACGTTTATAGTATTCCTGCAAACCAGAGTTGAAAATAGAAGTAGATTATGTTTGCTAAATGTCCGATAGATTTATTCCAAAGAATGTGAAATGATGAAATGATGATAAATGTGAAATAATGAGAAACAGTTAATTGAAATTTCCAAGTTTTTACTTTCCCTAAATTAAGGGCAATTTTGATAAGCTCGCAAAATTGTTATAATGAATTAATAATAATGAAGTATCATTTTGCAGTTTTACCGCTTAATTGGCAGTACAAATTGTGGGATGTTGTAAATTAACAGCGTACCTTTTGGTCTTTGGAGAATTTAATTTTTGTGTAGGTAAGTAATTTATGTTGAATTCCGTGTTCCTTCGAGTGTGAAGATAACCTTTAAATCTGCCCGTATCTGTAGTAAAATATTTGCTTAACTCCAATTTCGTATAATTTATATATCGAATTTGAAATTAAATAAACTGTAGTAGTGATTTTCAATAACTGTTTGTGGAAAAAATCTAATTGAGACTTCACGGAGGAACATTGCCATTGTTCTAGTACTGAAATTTCAATGCTCCTAGCCCACTATGCTTTTAACCCAAATAACCACTTCAGTAATGCTCTGAGAAAATTAAAATACTAATGGTTTAACATTATTGTCATTAATTGCATTACTAAATGCTATTCAAATTAATTGGTGGTGCACTGATATTATAGCAGTTGCGATTAAGATTGTCGTCCCAATATTACCATTTCAGAACCGGAACCCATACCTTCCACAGAAGACTGATTTCACTAATCGGCACTTTCCTGCACCCTTATTTTGTTCATTTTCCTTAAGTTCCTTTAATGAATATTCGTGTTAATCATATCGAGAAGGTCTTTTAATCATTATGACATGGCTCACTGATAAGTACGGCCTTATGCCCCAAACTATCTTGGGAATTTTCTCCTTGTAATGGTTCTTTACTTAGATATGACGTGTTCAACAAACCACTAGTTATCATTTGAATTTTTTATTAGATACAAACGCGTTTTACTGGAAAACTGTTTTCTTTAACAGAAAATTCGTGTACATTTATGAGTTTTTGGCTTGGCAGTTTATATAGGAATTGACATAGAACTAAGTTCGGTTTTAAAATGAAAACAATCTAATAGAATTAATAGAATCCTCTTAATTGGCTCAGTCGCATTTTTTAGTGATTTATTGATTATAATATATTTGAATTCAATTCTACCATGTGTTTACTTTATTTGTTTTCCACATTTATCTGTTTACGGCATTGGAAAATAGTAGCTTTCATTAAAAGTTAATCTGTGTTACTGAAATGCAATGACATCCAGAACCATTCGTTATCGAAATCCTACTTCTTC